CACAAGGACACAGCTTTAAAGAGTAAAGTCCCCCGCCCACCAAAGATCTCTTCCAAGATGGCTGTTCCTAGTCCATTAAAAAGTTCTAGGGTTAGTGCTGTCTTAAATTTAGAGTTAGGTATTTGGTTTAATTATATTAGTAGTGTAAAGCAGCAGAGAATATTGAAAATCATACCTAGGAAGGCCCGAAAATCTAATTGCCTTTCTACCTACATAATATAATTTTAAGGCTGAGTATTACCTGTTTATAGCCCATCATAAGCACCACATCCCATGAAAAGCCATAACACAGCAATTTCCAATGAATTAGTCAATTAAATAATTTCTCTCCAGCAATCTGGGCTGAAGCAGAATTAAACCATATCTCCTAACAAACCTTCTCCTAACAAACCTCCTTTGTTTTCTGAATGGATTTTATAGGAAGGAGGCTTAATTTCACACCCACACACACCAGCCACTTCCCACTCAATCTACCTCATTTAGGAAGCATGGAGGAGGTAATCAGCAACAGCAAAACTAACTCAATATCTTCCAAATGGAATAGAGGGGAGGGGGGGAGAGAAAGGGATTCTTGCTCCAGGCTTGAAGCCTGCCAGCTCCAGCAACATATCTTCAGCCTCATCAGAGGCAAGCGGCTGGGAGGGGAAGGGGTGGGGCCAGCCAGGGGCACAATTTGCAGGTTCTCCGAGCTGGGCAGAATCTTAACATCCAGTTCTATCAAATCAGTGGGAACCAGTAGAATCCCACCCCTGCAACAGATCAACGAAATAGAATAAAAATAGACAAAACATTCCTTTTTATAGTATTGGGATTTGTCTGGTCTACATGTACATTCATATAAAAGGATTTCACATGGTCCATTCCCATTCCCATGACCTAGTAAATAGGGACATAAAGGAAAAGGAACCCAATGGATCAGGGAGGCTTCCATTCCATGTGGTCACTCTACTTAAGTTGCAATTATATTAACATTCACATAGTATGTACATGCTTTGTTTAGACTTAGACAAATGCTTTCTACATTCTACAAACATTTTGCCAATGGCCAAATATGAATAAATAGTGGCACTGGATACCTCTGCACACACTGACATCTATTCTCCATAGGTGCCCTTGCTGATTTTGACAACACTAATGATACTGAGTCATTAGCTCCTGGGTTCAAAGAGGTAAGAAATTCAATCATGATTCACTACTGATTCCCAATTCTGACTACAAAAACCATAAAATTAATAAAGCTCACGGTTGAAATGATGGTTCCTGGGTTGCTCTCTGCGCTTGGTGCTCAGAATTGTAGAATTGTGGCATATGATAAACAAGCAAATATTTGTACAAAAGCAAATACTTTTTCTATAGTGCAATGATATTTCAGACAGAGAAACTTCAGACAGTTATTCATGCCCTGGTCACTTCTGTCACTACTCCTATGTTGGTGGTTGCCAGTTAGCTTCTAGGTGCAATTCAAGATATTTTTTCCTATAAAGCCCTTTATAGCTCAGGAATCACTGATATCCAACTATTTATGCCTGGCAGTGGGAATGCCCCAGGTTCCTTCTATTACATTTATTTTATTTATTTAGCGTATGGCACGTGTTAGCCAGGGATCACCGAGGTGGCTGACTGCCTCTGTGAAAGGAATTTTTTCAGGTGGTGTTATCTTTGCCCGGACACCTGAATGCCGGTAGGCATTCGGGGGAGGTTTCTTTCTTGTCCCTCTGCAGTTTTATTTGGAATCGAGCCGCCTAGCTGTCAACCTCAGCGGTGTGCAGGCCCAGCATCTTATCAAGTGAGCCATCGCCACCCCACACCTTCTGTTACATGATGTCATCTTATGGGACTAAGGAAGCTTGCCTTCTCTGTTGTGACCTCCATCCTCTGGGACAACATCTCCCCAGAGATGGGGACAGTACTTTCCCTCCTAGGGTTCTAAATTGTCCTTAAGACCTGGCTTTGGTCTCAGGCCTGGAGTTATTGTAATGTGTTGGTAGAGCAAACCTGGTTTGTCATATTTAGTTCAGAATGTCTGTGATGTTGTATGGTTTTAACTGCTTTTATTATTTGTGTATTTGTAAACTGCGTAGAGTCTGATGGGTTTCTGGCTATAATACATTTAAATAATATTTGGCTTGTCTTGGCAATCTAATTCTTCACAACTGTATTCGTTCCAGTTACACAGAGAAACTCTGCTTTAGTGGTGCTCAAAATACTTGAGCCAAAGAGAAAATGAAGCTAGATCAGAAAAGGAAGTTTTCTAAAGTATATCAAGAGTCTCTGAAAGTGGAAGCCTTTGGGTATTTAAATACTTCTCTTTAGTGTTTCAGTTACAATATTTTATTGCTGACTTGATGCTTAATCTGAGAAATTTCTTTCTCAATTCCTCCCCTCTCATTTTTGTTTTCTGGAACCGAATTTCCTTCTAGAAGAACAAGAAAGAATGCTAAAAATAGACAAAATTACATAAAGTAATTACAAAGAACTTTTTAAAGTTGAAGATAGAATTTTAAAGAATTCTACAAAACCATTTACCATTCAGAAGGTAAGAAGCTCCATCATAAAATCAAGTCATAAAAATATTGTCTTTTTAAAATAATTGTAAACTTTGGACATCTTAGAGGCAAAATACTTTCCAATAACAAAATCATGATGATAAAAATCTTCCCTGGGCAGTGGGCCAGGTTGTTGGATGAGCCCAACTTGATATTTTGATTGTATGTTTCTGAGTCATTCTGAATGCAATGTACTGTTTATGGTTTTTTTAATTGCCTAGTAGCCAACTGGAGTCATGTATCAAGAGGACAGGCATAGATATATGCTTTTTAAAAAATGTTAATAAAATCTGAAATCAAATACTTGTTCTAGATAGTTGTTAATTCATCTGACTAAGAGATACTATACTGCAAAAATTATTATATAACTAGTAGGCATTTAGATTATTATCTATATATTTGTTTAATAGATTTAATAATTTGTGCTCATTAATTACTTAGATTTGTGAATTAGCCCAGAAACTCTGATTTTGGTTGCTGTCCTCTGGGCCGGTCTTGTTCCACCTCAGATAATTTTGGCAACATTATTTTGCTTTTTTTATTCTACAAAATATCCAATAATATCAACGTACACTAGATTGCAAAGGGAATCAGGACAATGGATCATTTTCTCTAGTGCTTCTGTTTATTAATGTAGCAACATCTATGCTGCCCCAAATTATTGGCAAAGAAGAGCTCAGAAAATTATAGCTTTCAAAATCAGACTGTGCTGAAATGGGCAATGAGTGTTGCATTTTGGAAACAGGTCCCAAAATTATATCCTATTTAATTTAAATTTGTTCATACCTCCTTCTCTAAGCAATAATAATTACAAATGAATGTTTTAAAAATATTGTAGTCCTATTCTGTTTTGTATTTTACATTCATGTCTAATATTCTGTGTATTTATGAAAATAAAAGGGTAAAACATGGTACATTTATTTTTAACTGCATTAGATTTCTCTGTTAAATTGAAGCGTATGGTCATTAAGAGCCCGGCAGCATATAAGTTTAATAAATTAGTGAGGATTGATATTGAGAACGGTCTTTTAAAATAATGGGAAGATTGGCAGTGATAAATTTAATTGGTTAATTTTTGATAAAATCACAATTCATAGCAGGATTAGACCAGTAGTTTGGAGATCTCTTATGTCAATCATTTAAAAATATCTACCACCCTCTTTCTTACATTAAATGGTGCTGTGACTAACCAAATAACAGTGTTAAATAAAACAAATGAAGTAGCATTGTCACTACCATGCTAACAACAAAGCTATCAGAACATATGTACTTGTGCAAAGAAATGGAAACAGCTAACGACAACCCCATTTTGTTTCATTATAAGTAAGATGGCCAGCAAATGATGGAAATGTACATGGAAAAATGGCTCAGAGAGGAAAGTTTTTGCATAATGGATTTCACTTTGGTTTTATGTTTGTTCTAATCTTGGAAAAATCACATATCTGTATGTATACAGCAATTTTACATCTTGTATGTAAACAGTAACTTCTGAGGCAATTGCCTACCTTACTACAAGCAAGAAAATAATTGCCCCTTCCACTAGTTATTTAGTGCAGTAATTAATAGGTACGCAAATTGGCCTAAAAGAAAGATCAAGACTGATGTAACAGCTACTCTGGTCATCGAGGTATTAAAGATTCATTAAAGGTTAGTTAAAGTATTGAACATCGAATTGCTTCCTCATTTTTATGCAATTCATAGAATAAGTGGAATGGAGATTAAAGGTTGCAGAGTCCTTCTGCCTATTATCTTCCTTCCTTTCTCAAGTCCCACTGCCAATATTCTGTATTATATTGAATGAATGCACTACTGCTGTATTCATGGAGCTCTACAATTTTGGTAAAATTATAAAATAAAACACAATTTCTCAGAAATTTGAATTCCATCACACCTTAAGTTCCAGTGTATGTAATTAAATATAGATTTAAAAAAGCAATGAGGGAAGTAAACAGATTGAGACAGTAGCAGATGGGAAGGAACGTTTTAAGCATACTTTGCCCCTGCGGTCTCAGTGACTCCCCAGTTGCTATTAATATACCAAGGATGCCAACATTTAGACAATATACTTCCATTAATATCTCTACACTTCCAAGTTTATGTGTACCATATTAATATATAAGTTTTCTCATCATTAAGTCACCCTGTTTAATAGATTTGGAGTTGTTTATCAGTTATATACTTCTACTGAATTAAATGTAATTTTTCTGATTTAGTTTTTAATTGTTCTTCCTCAGTGAAAGCCCACTGATGTAAAAAACAAAAAATACCAAACACATTTAAACTATCTATTATTGAAAATTTCCAGATATAAATTATTATTTATAATTTATGTTATTAAATTATGTTATTATTCACAAATGTTTATATAACCATTTATGAAGATATTTCTCCTTCTCTAGCAGTGGTATTAAAATAATTATAAAATATAGTATATATACTAGAAAATGTAAATACCTGTTGTTTCTCAAACTGAGATCTTTATCAAGGTCATAAACAAAGTGATCTTGAGAGATTTCTATAATACTGTCTTTATTTTCATTTCTCTTGATAGTGATAACAGGGTAACCCATCTGGAGCGTCCACTGATCCATTACCTCTTGGATATTCACAAATTTCCCAATCTTCTTAAGTGCCTTCAAAACAAACAAAAAATACAGAACTCCTTTCTAAAATGATATTATTACCACATTGTCTCTTTTAGTAAAAGGATTCAGGGTGTATTCATTAATGTGTTCATAATTTTACATGATGGTTTTTTAATCTATACAGATATATTAAGTTTAAATGCTGTCTAACAGTAGCACTACTGTCCACTTTAATATCACAGTTATATCACAGTTTAGAAATAGATTCTACTATGTTCAATGGGTTAGCACTCAATTCAGCATAGAATTCCATCCAAAGAATTCCAATCATAAAATGTAGCAGAAAAAAAGTATTATTCCCCTTGCTTTATCCCAGAAGTAGAGAGTCTGTGTCCTTCCAGATGCTGTTAAACTACTTTTGACTCCAATCTACTTTGCCATTGGCTATGCTGACTGGGGCTGTTGGAAACTACAGTTCACCAACATCTGGAGCATGTATCTTTATGAAGACTTGGTTATTAATTTTAATTGCATCATTAACTTTAGATAGAAAATTAAAACAGAATAACAATACTGACAATTTTAGCCACCACTTTAGTTTTATATTAAACTCGAAGTAAAATCATCTTAACTACAAGGCAAGTTAATGCTGATACAACCTTTAAGTTCAGTGAAAGCAGTTCACTTTCATTGAAAGAGCAAATTATTACAAAATAATAGTTTCATAATACTTTCCTGATTCCTTTACCTGGTTTACTCTGCTATTTGGAATTGATCCACATTATTACCAAAATGCCACTTATTTAAAGAAATGACTTCCCCATATGGAACCAATGATTTTTATGTATGATCCTATTGTGTGTACCATCTCAGAAGAAGCCTGCGTGGAAAATACAAGGACTTGGGTTTTCTTGGTCATGGCTCTATCACTGTAGCATTCCCTTTTTCTTTCAATTCTATCTGCCAATTCTTAAGATCTCAAAACCTTAGAAACTTATTTTTCACATCCTGACTTTTCTTCCATAGTATTTGACCCTATTAATGGAGATATGGACAGAAGAACATTTCAAACCTACCAATAGCCCTTGTTCCATTAGGCATTTGTCCTTTGCTTCAGTTTGATTGAATGGCACCTATAATATATAGTAGGTTTCTATTGTTTTTGTTTAAATATATATGATTGTTAGTGCTCTCTTCTTGTATTGACTTTGCTGTACCCCACCAGAGTTTGGATTGGGAATATATATACTTTTACTTTGATGGCTTTACAATCAGCCCTAAAAAGCACTCTGTAAAAGCAAGTATTTATGCATTTTATGGCCTTCTCATGGTCTTCAGAGATGAAGTTGAGACATGCCTACAGATAACTGATACATTTCATGGTAGGTGGGACTCTGAACATGTGTTTTTAGACTAATTGGGTCAGATGGGAAGATTTTACCAGGAAGAAGTCAAGAGAACTAAGGTTATGCTCCCACTAATTCCACAGGACTTCCATGAAAGGGATCAATACAGTTTCTGTCCCATGCCTGAATCTGAATCTGGAGTTCCAGATCCAATTAATCAGTTTCCACCAATAACTGTATTTTCTCCATAATATTCCCCAAGAAGATAAGGTTGGAGAATGGATGAATTGTTCATTTTTGCTATATAACGACCTGGCTTTTTGAAGAATCCGTAGAGCAATACTGGTCTCAAGGTGCTTCCCCTTTCTCCTCTCTGGCTGCTTTTATCTGCCAGATGAGACTGTGGTCCAAAAAACCAGTGGAAAGACTAGATCACAAAAAATCCTGTCCATTTGCAGCCCGCAAATACTTCCAAATAATCCTACAAGATATGATGTCTCTTGCTGCAATAGATTCTAATGCAGATTCCATTTCTAATTTATTTTACATCATTTGAAATATATCCTATAGGTTCTAGGTGAACTCCAATTTGCTGATTCTAATACAATAAATTCTTTTAGGAGAGGACTAGCAGAAGAGCAAGTGCTCCTCTTACAATATCCTTAACATGTATTTAAAATCTGCATAAGAAGATTGGGGAATTCAAGAAGCAAATTGCAAGAAGGAGAAATCAGGAAAGAAAAGTTTCCATGAGCTTCTGCAGCTTATATGACACTACATTCTGCCTCTGTTTATCAATATTTCCAATTAATGGCCAAATTACTTGTGCACCTTCTGTGAACACTAAACCTGTAGATTGAACAAAGACTGCCTATTTTTCATGTTCTACATCTGAATCTATCACAATTTTTAAAATCAATGCTAGCTTTTTTTACCTCTAATTCTAAAGGCAAAGAGTAAAGAAATGTGCTAGCAAGATGAACAGATTTTGAGGTCCACTTTAAGTACCTTTTTAAGCACCATTTTAATACACCACCTTCAGTGTATCACTTTTTATACAATATTTATATATTTTATTTTTATTTATTTATTTATTTATTTTATCTGTCAAGCATGTATTAGATAACAGATATAAATATAAACATGATAATTAATACATGAAATGGATAGGAATAAAAGGGAACATTAGGACAGGGATGGTAGACACGTTGGTGCGCTTATGCTTGCTCCTTAAAGACCTCTTAGGAATGGGGTGAGGTCAACATTAGACAGTCTATATATAAGCCCCAAAGCCAAGTAACAAACAGCCTTCAGAATAAATTACATTTGTTCATGAAATGAAATGGTTTTACCTCTGACAGTGTATTCCATAGGTCTTTCCTTGCAGCATTGCCATACTTGTGAATAGTTAAATAATCCTAAAAATACATACATACATACATAAATATATACAATATAAACTTATGCTGTATATCTTCCATATATTTTAGGCATAATATTTGTATTATACATCCATGCTTAGTATAAATTTAAAACATTTTAAAGTTAGTTTTCAGTATGTAATAAAAGTGCCAATAATCAACATTCCAAATTATTATTCTATAAATCATAGATACACAGACTGAGGATGCAGGTTCATCTTTGGTGGTCTTTGCAAACCTGGACTGCAATCCCTAGAGATCTGTAAATGTTGTTACTTAACTATAATTTTTGATGTATTAAAATAAGAAAATTATTAAATACATAATGAGAGTAATACTAACATATTCAATTTTAAAAAATGAAACAAAATTAGTTTTAAATAAGATCTGTCCATTTCATATAATCCAAAGCTGAATATGGTCCTCAGCCCAGAAAAGTCCTACAATCCTGCTAATGAACTTTTATTTTCTTACATTCAAATACATTTTTCACTTTTTAATCTGTGTTTCTAGCAAATCTTACAATTGTCAGAAACATTTCCAAAAAATAAGTATTACCTGTTATTTTAGCAGATCATTCTATGACTGCTATTGAGAAATACAGACATTGCTGATACCTAGGTTTATTATTAAATATTGGTCTTATTTTTTCAAACCAAAATTTTCAATCTAATGCAAATATATCATTTCCTTTTTGGATTAAAGACTAAAGAATGCCATCAAACTACATTATACATATTTTAGTTTGAAGATTTACTTTAAGACTTGATCAAATGTTACTACACAAGAGCTAAGCTCCTTCTCTCTATTAAGAAACTTTACAGTGTAGTTATGTGGTATCATTTTGATATCAATCTCCATTTATTTATGGAGCTTTAATTCTCCCTGCCAATATAACCTAGCAATATACTAGATTCTGAATTATTTAATTTAGCATTCTTGAATAGCATAGAGCAGAATATTTAATTTTCCAGGTGTTCTTGGGCTGCAATTACCCAAAGCTCCAGCCAGAATGGCCAAAGTCCAGGAACTGTAATTCAGTATAATTTGGAAAGCTACATGTTCATTCACCTACAAACAGAATGCTAAATTAAAGCACCAGAAAAGTAATAACTTCAATTTACAATCAAAATTATTAAAATGTATTACATTATGAAGTGGGAAACAGAATTCTTTTGAACTGTTTATCCCCTTTATTTCAGGTAAAGGGCAGGTGATAAGCTCTCATGTGCTGCAAAATAAAACTGAAAAAATGTTCTGATAATATTGTGTTCAATATTATGCATGTTGGAAGTAGGTGCTTCAGTAATTAGGTGATTGTAAAACAGACTTTGTGATATACAAATTGTGAACTCTTATGACAGTTTTAGATTTAAATGTACATCCTATATTATAAGAAGCAGCACACCCATACAAACACAGATCAGAAAAGCAATATAGAAATATTGAGTCATTTAAGTGCAATGCAGCTTTAACAATACAATGAAAATAAATAGCATATATGTTCCTTCATAACACTGGCCTTTCCTTTATTTAAAAATAACAAATCATGTAATTTGATAAATAATCAATAGCCTCTGAAGCAGCAGATTGGTTGCTTAATAAATCAAATTAAATACCATAATATTTACATAAATTGGTCTTACATAAGATCAACCATACCCCTTGTGTAATATCCATGAATTCTGATAATGCTGGCTTTGATTAAAAGGAATACTTCTGATGGATTTTAAAAAATAAATTTAAAAACCTTGAAATGTCATATAAATATTCATTATTTCATTAAGAACTGTGGTTGATAAAAGATAATGAGATCCTTGTAGGAACAGAATCTAAACTCAAATCCATAATAAATCATTTACCAAATTTATTTTATAATAATACATAGTATATGCTGAAGGAGAGTGGTTACAAATGGGAATATAGGATCTATGTATGGAATTTGATAAGCTCAGATATCAGTTGTCAGCTGCAACCAAATTAGTGTGCAACTTCTATCTGTACATCAATCCTGAAGAGAAAAATACTGGTGGAATTACTTGATATTTGGCAGGTCCAAATATCACAACTATTCAGTATTGTAAGGGTTGAGACTAAGTCTGTTCATCCTCCTATAGACCATATACACTACAGACACAAGGACAGCATCAACTGGCTGGCCAAAGGCTGAAATATATAACTTGTTATCCTCAGCATATTGATTATACTGGACCACACTCTACAACCTCTTGCAGTTGCTAAAAAGGAGGGACAGGAGTTTCAAGCCCGAGGTATATCTCATAGGAAGGGATCTTGGGGCCCCATCAGCACAGTCTGTACTGTGTCTCAGAGAAAAGAGGAGAGCCAGAAAAACAGCATGCCTCCCACTCCTAATCTCTGTAAGCAATCCAGAAGAAGACCATTGAAAGGCACCAAGACATCAAGAACCAGAGGAGTTGCAATTCTCTTGAAATTTTTCCAAGGTTCATCAACAAGCACAACCAATGCTGCCTCAGAACTATGACTTGTTTCAAACTAAATTTTATGGAAATTAGGAAAGGAGCAGGAAAGAACCCTGAAAAGATAAAGAGATAAAAACCTGTTTAGGTTTCAAAAATTTCAAAAATCCATTTGGTAAGGATCAGGGCCCATGAAGCAAGCTCAGATTTTGAAACGAAATGTTAAATATGACATCACAGTGTTAAAGAGGTTGTTTGAATCACAACTTTACAACACAATTTAATCTTTTGCACATAAACTCCTTCAGTCTCCACTGAGGATCTGTAGGACAAGCAGTCCCTCCAAAGCACCGGCTAATCCTTAAACTGATCTTTAAAGACATTTCAGCAGCCATGTTTGCAGCTCTTTTCATTTTCATCCACTTGTTTTCAACAGTATATCCTTATTTTTGGTAAATGTCAAACAATTCTTGTCCTGTGTCAGGTAATAATTTATAGAGGGAAATACTGCTATCGGAAAGAAGTGAATTTTCCCACCAAATCTGGACAGAGTATAATATCTCTCAGAGATTTATGAAGCTCTGTCTTAAAATCAAAGCGAGTTCTGTGCTGCCAATTTACTTCCATGATTAGTGTATTACTAGTACTGATAGAATCTTTAGCTTCAGATTTATACTTCCTTATTATTAAAAAAAATAGCTATAAAGCATCCCCAACATTTTGTCTTTCAAGGCAATAAATATTATTTAAAATTTGTACTAGAAATTTAGTTTGGGTTTATTTTTGCTAAAATAATACATATATACAGTATCTACCACTTGTTTGATTCTTAACTTTCAAAATCTGCAATTTTAGTAAAAATATGGGCTCTTCAAAGGAAAATAATAGAAGAATAGAGGCATGGTACTATACCACAACACAAGGACAAAAGAAAACCTATTCAGTGAAAGATTTTCTTCTACTTAATAGTTTATAGGGCTAGGTGGCTTATTCCACAATCTGCTTTTGACAATAAGCAGCCTGAGAACTTAACATTTGTAAGAATGCCATCTCTTGCTCTAAGTATTGCTGGACAATGTACAGTAGAATATTTAAAAAGCAGCAGGAACTGTATACCTCTTCCAAACCATTACATATCAATTGTCTTGTTGCAGGAAAAGGTAAGCAAGGAAACTTAATGTATTTCTCAAAACCTAATTTGTCCAAGCAAATATTATGTAGAAGAGTACTGTACTTTTTATTATGATCTCTTATAAATTATTTTACCCTGTATTCAGCTCTGCTTTTAAATGTTCTATATTTGAAATACTGGAAGTGACAAAATGGGCCTGTTTTTCGGCCTCCAAAAGCTGCAGAGGCTTCCCTTGAGCCCCCGGGAAGGCGAAAATGGCCTCAAACGGGCTCCAGGGCTGAAAATGGGTACTTCCGGTATTTCTGGAAGGCCTGTTTTTCCACGCTCCCAAGGCTGCAGAGGCTTCCCTCGATCCTCAGCAAGGGCGAAAAAGACCTCAAACGGGCCGAAAATCAGCTGAGAGGCATGCGCATGCACAGTGCAGGTAAGGGGGCAGGGGGTGTTGCATGCGCATGCGCGGGGGGAGGGGTGTATTGCATTGTGGGTGCCAACACACATGTATGCACGATAGCACATTACAACAAAAAGGTTCTCCATCACTGATATATATAATGAAATAAACAAATACTTTGGCCACCTAATGAGAAGTAAGGACTCACTGGAGGAGAGCCTAATGCTTGGAATGACTGAGCGCAAATGAAGAACAGGACGACTGAGAATGAAGTTGCTGGAAGGAGTCACTGAAGTAGTCAGTGTAAGCTTAAATGGACTCCGGGGGATGGTAGAGGACAGGAACGCCTGGAAGAACATTGTCGATGGGGTCGCGATGGGTTGGATATGACTTTGCGGCGAACAACAACAAAACAATAACATATGTATATTATATATAGCAACTTGAAATATTTTAAAAGTGCAGGGGAAATATTTTATGAATGAAAATTAACTTAAAATGGGATAATATTGCGAAATACCAATTGTAAATGTGCTATCACAGTTAGCACACCTCTGTTTAAAAGAATTCATGATATAATTAATTTTCCCCCCGAGTTTTGATTTGAAGAACATAAGAATGTTTCTGAATAGTGTTGGAGATTAGTTGTCTAATCTAGCTATATTACCTTATAGTGTCATTTTAGGTTAGGGGGAGGCAATTTTTATTAGTTAAGATTTCATAGGATTAAACAAAAAAAATGAGATTTCTACTCTAATTAAAAAAAATGTTTCTAGCAGATATAATTGTATTGAATGATTAACAAAACCAAACTAAATAATATAAAATATGAGAAATTATTCAGTGACTCTTGGTTTGAAAAAAAAATCTATTATAGATTCTACTGTTCCTTAGTTCAAAACTGAATCAGTTGATTCACATATCTTAAAATCTATTAGCCTGGAACTAATGAAACATAAAACAAATTGGGAATATATTTCAGAATGTGCTTCAGAATAATTTTAACATATAGAAATTCCTCAAGAGAGAAATGTTT